TGCCGGAGAGAGCCTGCTCCAGCAGCCGGGCCCTTCAGAAACGCTCGTGGCAAGAGGGGATCGGGCAAGCCGCCGTTATTAACCGCGGGAGCCCCGGGCAGACGTTTGCACCCTTCCCTGCGGTCACATCTCCGTCTCTGTCTTTTGCCCACGGCGTAACGCACACCGCAGGGAGGCTGCGAGGGGAACGGCTGCGGCCAGTGTCCCACCAAGCAGGCACGGGCAGAAACACCTCTCGCTTCCCCTAACGGCGACGGGGCCCCCAAGGGAAGGGGGGGAGGTAGGAAATCGCCACACCTCCCACCCCACCATTCCAGACACGCTGACCCTTCTGCTAAACCCCCGGGCAGGTTTTTTGAAGAGCGGCAGCAAGCAGCACTCCCTGCACACACCGGGGACTCAGATACCAGAGCGTTACGGCAATAAACCGAGAGCAGCATCTCGTATCGCTGTCAATTTGAAATGCCACCTAAAGAGAGCACTGATTACAGGAGAGGAAGAAACCCAGAAGCCTTTAGTGACCATTTTAAAGCTTTCTGCTATTTAATTGTGGGTTTCCACATGCTGACATAGAAGCCAAGTGCCCTCACCACAGGAAGCTTCTCCTCCCAGAAGCTATCTCTGCATCCTTTATATCTAGGGAGATGTCAAGCATCTTCAAGAGGCCTCGAGACCTCCTCAGAGCTGCCGTGAAGGAGGACATCAAGGCTTGCAGGTGAGACGTTAGCAGCAACACGAGGTGATGACAACGCTGGCTGGTCCAGTGGTGCCCAAGATGGATCAGCATGGGGAGGGCTGGAGAGGGAACGAAAGCTCACGATAGGTCTGGGGAAGAACGTGTATTTATTGCTATTAATTGCCTGCCAGGACATCTCCAACAGCACAGACAAAATACGGCACAGCAACAGAGAGCCAGAGCACAGGTGAGTCCTGGAACCGGCTTCAGGTTCGGGGCAGAAGAGACCGTCAGCGCTAGGAACAATATCATCACGAGGACAGACCGTGAGGGCTGAACAGAGCACAAAGGGCAGAGCAAGGGGGCAGGAAGAGTGAGAAGACCCTACCAAAATAGGGATAAAAAAAATGAGTTTCAAAAGAACTTCCTGGCTTGCCTTCCCAGAGCCCTGCATGCCCTGGCTGGAACGACCCGACGACGCCGTGTAACACGAGCTGCGGAAGGTCTCTGAGCACAGACTGCATTTCGTTAGGATAAAAGACACAACAGCAATCCTAACATCCCTCTGCACCAAGAGCAAGAGGACAGAAGAGGTTCCAAATCATTCGGAGAAAACGCTTTGTTTGTCCTGCCCCCAAGACGACTAGCAGGCATAAACGACTGCTCTAAAAAGAAAGATACCTGCACTACATCTCCCCACAAAACTAGTGATAAATCTCCAGCCACACTGCCCCGCAGCGTCTCCAACTGTCCGGTCCTCGGGCTCCGGCTTGCAACGTGTGCCGTTCCCATCATAGCTTGGGAGGGCCTCCGTGGGGGAAAAGCTATGCAGTTCTCCACCACTTGAAATGAAAAACGCTGAGGGCTGCCTATCTAAAACCCACCGATTACAACTAGCTTCATGTCTCTGTGCACTGCAAATAAAGGGGAACATTTTCAGATATGCCGTGAAGACTATGGATCCCAACCCTCTTTCTGAAAATGATACCTGCACTTTGGAGGCAAGGCTCCAGGAAGGCTCTGCCTCAAGTCCCTGTGTCACTTTCGGAAAGGAAACTTCAGCTTCCAGATCACTTAACAACTTTTGAATAGTGAACTCCGTATCTAGATTTAGTTATATGAAAAGAAAGGGGCTGCCTTTGACAACACATGTTTTTGCTCTTACAGCTTCTTGGCTGTTACTCCCTCCTCTCCAGCTGCTAGGTCTTCAAAATCCTATACAATTAGGGGAGAAAAAAGAAAAAAGAAAGAAAAAAAAGAAAAAGAAAAAAAGGAAAAAAAAGAAGTAGGCAGGAAATAAAAAAGCAGATAGGAAAGGAGGAGTTTTCTATGGCTCAGCTGAAGCTAGCCCCTCTACTAAACACTGCAATGAAATATTTTCTGGGGGGGGGAACTACGCTGTGAAAAGTGGCCATCAGTGGCCCTCATCAGTGTTTTATGTTGGTACTTACTCGTGCTTGTGCTAGTTCCAATAGTATTGATAGTTGTGGGGACAGAGGAGGAGGAGTAGAGGGGCAGATGGCCGTTCTCACACGCCAGGTTTTTGTCCTGCCAGCTGGAAGCACTGACACTTATGCCAGAGTCTCGAGAGTTTTGCCATCCGTTGAGTTTATCATCGGAGTTCTGTCTTTGGTGATAGTAGTGCGTCTGCCCATAATCCACAGAATCGGATCGACCTCTGTTTTGGCTGCCAAAACTACCCGACGTGCGATCCTCTAAATGATTGAGCCACATGGCGAGAGCACTTCTGTCTTCTAGCGAAGTGGCAGGGTGTATCAATGCATAGGACAGCAGTTGCCTGCTCTCTTCAATGTGTTGGTTGTGTTCAATCGAGTGGGCCAGGATTTTAGGCAAGAGTTTCATGTATTCGACTTTTGCTTCAATGTTTCCTGGTTTCAGTAAAGGCAGGTGGGTTAACAATAGGGAAATCACTTTATCCTTGGATTCTTGTTGCCATTGGTTAATGATTCCTGTTGGAAGGGAAAAAAAATTGAGAAATCAGCAAACAGATGCAATAAATAAATAAATAGACTCCAGCGAGGTAAATACAACATGACAAAGGGATTCCTGTATGCTTGATGCCACTGAATGAACGTCTCCCAGGCTCTGTGAAACACAGGTGGAGGGATCACCGCTGCCTGAAAACTGAGGTCATAGCAACGTGTGCCAAATTTGACATCAAAAGTTACTAGACATTCCTGAAAATTGCTCAAAGGGCCAAATTATACCCACCTCTACAGCCAAGTAGCTCCAGTGCTGTTAAAATGAAATGGGGCTGATGTTAATCACAGCCACAGTTAGGCCCAAATTTTCAGCAGCGTTGCAGATTATACAAAATAATCTACAAAACCTTCTCCTCAACAGGCTTAGCCTCCTGAAAGCACTGGTTAGAAAATGGAAAGCTCAAGATGCAAATGAGGTAACAAAAGCAAGAGCCATAAGGGATAAAAAGAAAGCCGCCTGCAAGGGCGTTGGGGTAAGACAATCACTAAAACAAGGTGTTGGTCCATTCATCAGCCTGGCGGGATCAGCTGCCTCAAAGGTATTTAGGGAGGGGCTGAGCTGAAGCAATGGCAGAGCTGTGATTTCTGTGTAAACTCAAGGCAGATAGGAGAGGTTTTCAAAGACCAGAAAAAGCACACGTAGCGTCTAGCTTTAAAAATAAGCACAAGGAGAAGCCAGGGAATTATGAACTGGTCACTTAACCTGAACTCCTGGAAAACTGATGGAACAAATAACGAAGCAACCTCTTTGTAAGCACTTCTCATCTTGTTATTTTCTAAGTGACTACCGACACAGATTTGTCAAGAACAATCTAATTTCCCCCTACGACAGGGTAACCGGCCCCGCGCGTAGCTGGGGAAGCAGTAAGTGCCTTATATCTAGATATTCGTTAGAGGCTGTCTCACGTGGCTTTCTTGCAAGCAAACTGGAGAAACATGCTCCGATGAAACTCCTGCAACGTGGGCACAAACCTCATCAGAGGACTGTTTAGAAAGAGCAGTTACTCATGATTTCCTGTCAGACTGGAAGGATACACTGAGCAAGGAGCCCTGGTTGGGGTATGACACTACCTAGTATTTCATTAGTGATACGGGGGATGTGATGAATGTATTCAACGCGCAGATACCACGCTAGGAAAAATTGAAAACGCTCCAGAAAACTGCACTAGCAGTCAAACAGTCTCGAGATATGAAAAGTCAGAAAAAACAGCTGCATTAAGTAGGGATGCAACCTTCTCCAGACATTACTCAAAACGCCATGCCGTTGCACGCACAAAACGCATCAGCCAGGACGTCGTCTGTCAGACACATGAAGTAAGCCCATCTGTTAGACTCAGCAGGTAAGCTGGAGGGGAGCGTCCGTCTGGCACGTCTACCGCTTTTAAGGTAGAGTCCAGAGCAGGGCAACAGGGTCCGGTTAGAAGCAGAGAGAACACGACCGCGAAGAAAAGTAGAAGGGAAGAGTGAGAGAACATCAAAACCCTCTCAAATATCTAAAAGAAGGACGCAGAGAAGCTCCTGACGGGCTGCTCTCCGCGTCTGCTGAGAACTGATCAAGACATAACAGATTTAAATTGCAGCAAGGGAGAACGAGGTCAGATATGAACTACTTCCTACAGGCAGAGAGACGGACATACAGGGAGAGGCTGTGAAGGAGGGTCGAAACCCTCCATCATCAGAGGGTTTTCTGCACACCTCATACAAATACTAGGCAAGGATAACTCCGGACCTATCTAGACAACCTTACTGGTTTACATAGTGACAACTGAGGTGCAGGTATCTTGGGCCAGGCCATGACTCCGCCAAGGCTGATGTCTAAACGAGGCCAACGATGGACACCTAGCAAAACAGGGCAGGTACAGAGCAGTCGTCCTTCTCGACCCGCCTCTACATCCTCCTGCAGGCCACAGGCGTCCTTCTGCAGCAGGGGCAGCGGTGCCCAGGTACTCCTCGGCCACACGCAGGCCTGTCCTCTAGCAGTTTATCTAACCCCTGGGAGAAGCCTTCAAAACTTGGGCCCCTGTAGCAGTCTGTGCCAAAGAGTGCCGGAACTGAACTGTCCGGACAAAAAGTACTGCCATTTGTTTGCTTTAACCCTGCTGCCCAAAAGTAACAGCGAGTGCCCCGAGTTCTCATGTTATAAAACTACAAACAAAAAACAAACCCCAAAATATCACCAAGCTTTCCTATCTGTGCTCTCCCTCTCTACTAGAGACTCTGCTTCCTGCCTCTTTGCCACATTGCTGAGTCCCCGTCTCTCCCTGCACGCAAACTGTTCCAAACTTCTGACCGTCCTTGTACCACCGTGTTTTTTTGAAATAGGGCACCTGACGCCACACACTCCCACAAATGAAGATTCGGGCCTACGTTTGTACGAATGGCCACCAAATTTATTCTTTGGAAGAGACAAGCTGCAGTGCATTAAATAATCTCACACTTCTAATACGTAATCACTCCCTGACCTAGAAAAAAGGCACGATGCCGCGTTCTGTCATTACAATAGGGCCTTTTCACAGCTAAGGCCAAACTCCTTATGTCGCTCCCCTAACACCAACGCCAGCGTTCGCCAATAAATAGCACTCATTCCTGCAGCTCCGGATTCCCGTTTAAAGGCATGCAACTGTTTGAATCCGAAACCACTAGATGGCTTTCTGGAAACACCGATGGCTCCCACTGGAACTTTCTGCAGCAACGTTCACTTCTCTCGAGATCCATCCCTCCTCCAAAGTCCCCTCGCACCTCCTTGCCCGACCATCAGCGTGCCCTCGCGCCGTCATACTGAGACGCCGCGGGACACAGCTTTACTAGGTACTCTCTGTAACAGAACTGTGACTCTCAGTAGCCTGGACGGGTTCACGCGTGTAGGTGACAAGCACCAGGAACCCCGGCGGTCGTGCGCTCCAGGGATGCCCGTCACCCCACAGGCTCGGAGGCAGGTCTGGAGGCGAGCCACCTTTGCAGGACCTAGCTTTAACACCCTCTGCCAACCTCAAATTCACATCCCTTTGTGAGGGTCCCCTGGCTAACACGTGAGGCTGCTTAGGTGCTAGAAAATGCGATTTGGAAGAGCAACACCCAAATAAAATTAACCTGTAAAAAAAATACAGAAGCGTTGAGGGACTTAAGTTCACGCACCCTAAAATTCAATGAAAGGCAGTTTCTATCTTTGATAATAATTCATAGCTCCGAACCCCTCCAGTTAGCCTTCATTTTTCTCCGAAAGCACAGTCAGCAGTATTGAGGCTGCTCTTTGGGGGATCCCAACCAGCAACTCCTCCACCCCGAGGAAGAGTCTACCTACCCAGCATGGGGTACTATGGACAGGAGTGCTCTCAAAACACCTTGGAGAAGGTATGCCGCTTTGCTGAGAATATTAAGGCCACGTCGCTAGGAAAGAGGAGAACGAGGATCCAATCTGTGCTCCTCTCCTTTAGGTTTTAAATTAAAAACTAACTGAAGTAGGGTCTAGTCAGCACTTCTCCCTGCTACGCAGTGATCCTGACAGTGCTTCGGTAACAGACTGCTTTGCAGCATCAAGTCCTAGGTAATACAGAGCATCCCCCCAAACCACCTATTAGGCTCCTGGTAACTGTAAGCACCTGCAAGGCTCAGCAACAAATGGATGAAGGTGCTTTCGAAAGCTGTTAGATGGGACTTAGCATATAAATCCTTCCGTGGATGCAACTCCTGGAAGATTCGTTGGCCCTTCAAATGCCTGCCTGTCACTACGGTACCCCCACCACATGGCGACAGTCTTGCAAAGTTGCAGGACGAGAGAAACAAGACCAAATTCCTTCATTTTTTCTTTGCAGTGGGAAGGCGCCAATCCCAGCCTTCCCCACATTCCCTTTCTGATGGGGATTAGGGACAACACCATCTTTGTGGTAACGCTTTACACAGCTTTTCTCGCGCCTTCCTCTGAAGCATCTTGTTTTGGCCACAGCACAGTGGTCTCATTACTACTACTCACTGCTATTACTATTACAATACTTTCTACCAACCTCAGGCAGATAGAAATGAACACAAGCCCGGGGCATTATTTTATAAAGCTGGTGAAGGCAGACTCGTGCTAAGAGGACGGTAAGACAACTGTGCATGGCCGAGGCTCAGGCACAAGTCAGTTTTCCCCATCGCTCCCACAACCGAGGTCACCTCCGCGTCTGGGACACCGAGCTCCAGCGCAGGGATCACACACATTGGGCAGAGCAAACACACGGCACAGCCCTGCGGTACCTCCGTGAAACCGCACTGCCCCATCCCAACACTGGACCCAGAAACGGCCCTGCTGTCCTCTCATCTTCCTGGTGACGAGAAGGATGAAGTAAAACCAAAGTTTTGTCTGAGGCTAGGAAAAGACACATTTTGTACGTCTCCAAGTTTAAGTCAGTTTTGCGCTGTGCTTAATCTGATCTTTCTGCAGATGCTGCTGTAAGGGGCAGACTGCAGAACAAGGCTGCTCACCAACCTCACCAAGAACTAATACATTTTTTTAATAAGTATTTTTGCTGCGCTATTTTTCCTTATCAGCCCCTCCATGTTTTTCATTGCCATCTGGACAATTCAGCGGCCCTTTTCAGCCAACACAGCCAGCCGCCAGCATGGCACAGTCTGCTGGGAGAGGCTGCAGGACTTTGCAAGAGCACCCACAGGTGCTTGGATAAGCAGACAACTAAAAAGATTGTTAACAAAGGCATGCAATGCACCACCAAAAGAAGTCAGTCCCACTTGCAAATAGGACCTACAGATGTAGCAAAACAGGTACGGGGTGGAGGTGGCCACCTCAACTGTGACAGCTCCAGGAGTCCCAGCCAGGCTTGTCTTCCTCACAGCGAGGGCAGCTGAGCCTGAAGGTCATCTCCGGAGAAATGGAGGACAGTGCCAGAGCTGCTCCTTGAGAAACTTGTCTCAGACCTCCAAGAGATTCAGAGGCTTGAAATAACAAACCAAAAAGATGGAGGGTTGGACTG